ATTTCTGGCTTTAAAATACACCATAAAAGAAACCTAGGGCCAGAAAATGTAGGAAAACTTTTCTCGCGTGTTCATTTATTATACGTAATAGTTGTATACGAAAAGAGACAAGCACCAGAGTGCGAACAAGTACGACTTGGCTCGTCTGCAACGGCGGCCCACCCACTTTTTCTACTGGGGTGCTTGGCGACCCCCCCCCCCCGACTGTTCCCAGCACCAGTGACAAACATTTTATGAACGCTGCAATGTTATCATTACTCTTAATGGAGCGACGTTCTAGTTCTCTTTATGCTAACCACGAAGATGTATTAAGTGTAACTGATTGGCTTACAGTAAACCTTCAAACTAGCGTACGTAATATAACCACATTTAAACTCTAATTTAACGAAAACAATTTGATAGTCAATTAGGCCATTTTTTTAAAATAAAGTTGCCTGAAGGTTAACTACAGAATTCACAGTACACTGTAGTTAATGTGTTATAGGTTGTAAAAACTGTATTGAATAAAAGGAAAATATTTCGAATAAAAAAAATCTTTCGCTTGACAAAGTTAGGAATTAATCATTTGTGAAAAAAAATGATAGGCTATGTCAAGTGTTATATTGAACAGTGGCAGATTCAAGGGGAAACCCAGTCAGCACGGGACACCATCCTTTTTTTTTTTATTATTATTATTTAAAAAAATGAAGAAAAAAGACAAAATTGTATTCAACTTTTAATCTGAGAGTGCCATTTCCGGCCATCTAGAGGTACCACAATCATAATTGTCCTTACCTCAGCCCCAACAGTTGTGGGGCTGAGGCGGGTGGAAAATGGACATTCTATTTACGCAAGACTCTCGACTTCGACTTTGTTCGGAAGTTTGTGACGCGTTCAAGGGGAGGGGAGGCTAAATTTTTTTTAATGGAGATACAGTATAAGGAAAATTATATTCAAAGTCTAAGAGTGTACTTTCGGCCATCTAGAGGTGAAATAATCACAATTTTCTTACCTCAGCCCAAACCATGGTGGGGCTGAGGTGGTATTCTCCATATACTGAAGTACCCAGTGGCGGATTCAAGGGGACCCAACTGGCCCCCCCCCCCCACCCTCCTAAATTGTTCAATAAAAAAATGGAGATATAAAGAAAATTATATTCAAATTTTATGTCTGGAAGTGCGATTTCAGGCCATCTAGAGTGCCATAATCACAAATGTTCATATCTTAGCCCCAACCATGGTGGGGCTGAGGTAGTATAGATCTGTTGAAGTACCCTCCCTGGGCCCTTCTATTTCGAATTCCTGGATCCGCCACTGGAAATCAGACAAATATGAAATCATAATACATTAGCTTGATGTCTATAAAATAATTTACCAAACTTCGTAAAATAGCCGTAGCTTCCAGGGGGCTTATCCCCTGGATCCCACCGGGGCCCGGGGGCCAGGGGCCCTTCGCTCGCATACCCGACCTTATGAAATGGCACCCCCCTCACATTCAAAAACGTTCCGCCGCCATTGCTCGTCTGTCCATGGTCTGTCTGTCTCGCTCACATTTATTTTGACCATGATGACGTCATCAAAATGTAAAAAGAAGTCACATTATGAAAGAGAATTGTCCCAGCTATCGATCAAGGATAAGCGAGATACGCTCAAGTGAGTACCGGTATTTTAACAAATTACGTCATAGATAAAAAAAATTCGGTTTTTTGAATTCAGAAATTCAGATGGCAATATGATGACGTCACAATGTCCGATCAGCCATTTTGATCTATGAAATCATATCTAAAACTCGTGTGCTTTCAGAATATGTAATAAAAGTTTATGGTCCTAAGGAGTTATAATATTGATTAAAATTATGCATGATTTTGGCATATTTCCACTGTAGTCAACGCAAACGTGCGCACGGATTTGTATGTTATTGGCCCTAAAAAAATATATATATACTGAAAAAGAATGGAAATTTGTGAATACAGTGTCAGAAACCCAAATATGTAAAAAAATAGTAATTCATAGCTTCCTTACATATTATCAATTATCATTTGTTACTAATTACCAATTATAAGATTTTATAAGTTTTAATAATCATTATAGAACAATACAAAGTAAATGACAGCAGCACTTTTGAGACTAACAATTATAATGTATTGTCTAGCTTTCGTCCGCACAGTGGACGTCATCAGGAGCAGGGACGTAGCCAGGATTTTGAAAGGGGGGGGGGGGAGCCGTTATGTGAATTACGTAGGACCCCGGCGGGGTCATGGGGGCGAATCCCCCTGTGAAGTAGCGCACTCTAAACGTTCTTAGGACTGTTTGAGAGGATAAAGCAATAGACGCATTATAAATAAGCGCAAAAATAATTATACAATAAATCAACAGTGGCAGATCCAGGAATTCGAAAGAGAGGTGAACGAGGGAGGGGCTTTCACAGACCGAGGAACCACCCACCTCAGCCCCACCATGGTTGGGGTTGAGGTAAGAAAATTTATGATTAGGGCATCTCTAGATGGCCGGAAATTACACTCTCGCACTTCAACTTGAACATATTTTTTATTTTTTTTTTCCTTAAACAAATGAAGGGAGGGGCCTTAAATCCACCTCTGCTCAAAACATTCTTTATCCAGAATAGTCATAATCACGAAAAATTGACATGAAAAACCAGATCACATCCTAAAATCAAACAGACATATATCTGGAGCCAACTCGATGGAGTTTAATGTCATACGGTACCCAGGGAAGGGCACAGATCTGTTTTGAAAGGTGGAGGGCACTCACCTCAGCCCCACCATGGTAAGAGCTGAGGTGAGAAAATTTGAGGAAATAGTACCTCTAGATGGCCAGAAATGACACTTATAGTAAAATTCATCATCACATCACCATTAGTCAAAGTGAAGCGCCAACAAAAATTCCCATGATCTTTTATCAGGGATTTTTGACAACCATAGAGATCTTATTAATGTGTGTGTGATATACTATAGAAAACAAAGCTTAAAAACATTGTCTTTGAGAATGTACTTTACATAGGCCTACTTAAAAAACGTGATTTCACAACCACCTCAGCCCCACCATGACTGGGGCTGAGTGGGGCTGAGGTGTGAATTTGGATTTGACCTACGACCGGTCATACTTCCCCGACGAAAGCAAAGTGAGCGTGGTCGAGCTTCGACTAAAAGATTCCCAAAGTGGTCCTGGGGGTGAAGCCCCCAAAAATTTCGACAATTTGGGGGTTTCAAAGACTTATTTTATCGATTTTAGAGTCTACTAATATGTAAAAAATACATATAATATTTTTTTCTCCCCGACGAATTGTGATTTTTCTCCCCGACGGAGGGGCCAGCTCTCCCTGACGGGGTGCCTTGGCCCCCGCCACCCCTGAACTGTGGTCACTAAATAAATCGTTCGAAAATAAGATAGATTGTTTCCAACGAAGCTTACTAAGACGAGTTTTAAATATTCATTGGCCATTTAAAAGAACGAACATTGAACTACATAAAAGAGCCTGTCACGAGAAATGGTGCACAAAATTTATGAAAAGACGCATGAAATAGATAGGGCATCTCCTACGATTACTAGACGATACACCTGCCAAACGAGCTTTCATGAATACCACCGAAAGGCAAAACGTCACAGAGGAAGACCAAAAACCACATGGATACAAACAATAAATATATATTAAGGACTTAAATCAACTTACACTGTAACACTGCTGAAACACGAACGCGCATAATCAGAATAAATAAAAAAAAGTGAGGGAAGAGATGGAATCTGATAATAGAGGGTGTAAACGCTAAGTCTACTAATGACGTCTAAGTGAATAGATTATTATTATTATTATTATTATTATTATTATTATTATTATTATTATTATTATTATTATTATTATTATTATTATTATTCAATTAAAAAACCCTAAGAACATTTAAATACAATGTTTACATCTGATTCACTTATTTTAAATATATGCAACTTTTAATTATTGTTATCTCATTTGTTAATAACATATCCAAGGTCCTGCATAATATTTATATATAAAAAAATAAAAAATAACTAGTGGCTAGGAAATTTAATTTTTTATTAAGTACTTAACATAGCACATGGCTGTGCTAAGCGACAGGAACAGAGAAAATAATCTGTAACTCATAAAGTGAACTAAACCAGCACCTATACATTACTTTTTAATTGCATAACAAACCATTTGAGAGGTATTTTTCGATCACAAACGAACTTCGCAAATCCTTTTGTAAGTCAAGAAACTGGTTCGATCGATTGTAGCGAAGGAAGCGAACGTTATTCAGAAATTATACAATTAATCATTTGCAAAATTCCTTTCCGGCGTTAATTTGTAGTTGGCATTGTTTAGATGACACCCATGGCTGGTGTAAGTTATATGATGTTATCCTCCCAATCAGACGCACATACAGTAGAAACTAGTGAAACCCAAGTTATATAGGGCTCTCTGTATGCTCAATTTTCAGTCGATAGAATTCACAGTATAGGTAGGCTTACTTGCGAGTGTAATTAATTACAAATTTAATACGATTTTCTATACTAGGGTTTTTTTTAGTGGGTTTCTGTTTTCGAGGTCTCTGTTTTCGTATAGCTGGGTCTTGTTTTTTTCGAGTATCGATTACGAAAACAGAGAACCGGCATTCGAAAACAGAGAAACAAAAATTCGAAAACAGAGACCCAAGAATTTGAAAACAGAGACCCGGCATTCGGTTTTCGAGACACCCGTCATTAAGTCTTGAGTTTACATTCGGATTCGCCTACATAATCGCCGTTATTAAATTTAGTTCAAAATAGTGTGCTGGGCTTTCGTACGCCGGTGCCTGCAAAATTCGGTACACTGGGTTCGGCAAACCGGGTTTTGGCCAACTGGGATTTCATTTTTCCGGTGAACTGTATTTGGCAAACTTGGTTTTGGAAAAGTGGCCTAAATTCAGCAAACTGGATTTTAGGCACCAGAAAGATTTGAGTAGAAAAAAAAAATGTCAAGTATAATTTACAAGAGGAAGCATCACTCACTCTGATAGTCCTTTGCGTATGGAAGTTTTCGAAGTATTTAAACTTAAGTTATAGTTGATGGTTGTCTTTGGTTTGTTGGTAGTCTTCAACTGGCGTTCCCTTCCGGCATGCGTTCCAGCTAAAATAAGCTTTGGTTGCAGCCTGCACAACATGATAAGTTGGCTCCGTCTCAAATTTTTCTGGTGCCTGATTGGCTGCTTATAATAACTCCGCCCACAGGCACTACATCATTCTATTCGCCCAATCACACTTAAGAGTTTCGTCGGCCCAGGGACGCCTCACGGCCGGTGAACCCAGTGTGACCAGTGATGCAAATCAAATTATTCCGAGACTGATGGGAAATTATGCTAAATTATGCCAAATGTTAAATTTCGAATAAACGCCCCCTCCCTCTTTCAAAAATACAAACTAAACCATTAATACTATTTTTTTCTTCAGTGAGAATTTAATTAATTGTATATATATAAAGTATAAAATAAAAATGAGTAGTTGCATATAAGTCTTCTTTTTCCCATGAATCAATAAACCCCAAAGAGAAGGGGTATTTTTATTCCTAGATGGCGGAAAATTAGTTTTTCCGACTTTTGAGTTGTCTATTTATGACTTTTAAGTTCTTCCAATTAAAGATTTTTCCCCTCTTAAAAACGATTCCATGAATCAAGAAAAACAAAGAGAAAGGGGGATTCTACCCGGGAAAATGTTAATTTTTAAATGGCGGGAAATTATCTTTCCCGACTTCTGAAATGTCTTTTAATGACGTTTAAAATTCTTTTTTCCCCCTTGAAAACGGTGAGGTAAATTTTTCTCATTGTTATTACAGTAAATAGGCCTATTATGTGTGTACTGGTATACATAGGTTGCATACATTTTTTCCCTGAATCGATGAACCCTAAAAATAAAAGGGGGTCGGTCCTCCCCCAAGAAAATGTTGATTACCCCGCCGTGGGTCCTCCCCCGAGAAAATGTTAATCCCCCCCCCTCCGTTCCCACGGCCATGTATACAATCTCGCATTATTAGTAGTCTTGCAATAATTTCGCATTCTTTCTATTGTAGGCTAGCCAGCCAATTCAAACACTGTTTAGTTTTCAGGATGATTTCCAAGCAAGAATCAAGATGATTATAATGAAACCTAGAAGTAACATTGACATGCAAGCAGCGGAGAAAACACTAAAATTCCTCAAAAGGCTTCTATACATTTAAAAGCCGTCGCTTGTACGACGATTTAGAGGCGGTCCTAGAAATATGTGATTGGTTAAGGAGGGTTGGTGCTGTCTCTTATACACATCTAGATGTGTATAAGAGACAGCCTCAGCCCCACCATGACTGGGGCTGAGTGGGGCTGAGGTGTGAATTTGGATTTGACTGAAATCAGATCATCTAGACAACAGTGCTCGATACATAAGCAGAGCAATATAAAATCAAAACAAATGACGCTTGGTTACAAATTCAACATTTTATTGCGCTACAGGCTGTTTCATGAGGTACTTCCTCAATCAGGTGCTAGGCTCTGAATGAGAATGCAGAATAACAATCATGCATGGTGGAACTGTTAATTGCTATATAGATTATATTGTTATATAATTTATTGGTAACCAGGTTAATTTGTATACTCATTATTATTCATAGTGGTGATTAGAAGCTCTGTATTGTATAGTCCTATGTATATTGGTATCGCAGTAGAAATTTTCTTCTATGCCTACATGCACTAATCAATTCATTCCTACGGTTGAGTGAGCTTAATTCAGGGTTACATATAATAAAATATTTCTCGAGCAAACACAGATTACAGCGTTTACTGATATTGGAGTATGGTTTGCATTTACCTAATATTTTCCATTTAATTTCATATTTTATATTATCGGCTTTAAGTGCCGTGCTGTTTTTATACTTTTCATTACGGAATGAGCTAGCATTAAAAGTTTGTTCTGTAAAAGTTTCTATTTTGTTGTCGTCTTGGCGTATATACAACTCCTTTGGCTATGCACTTGTTGGATAGGGGGCACACGTCACGACAATTGCATTCTTTGACGTCATCATCTGTGCGGATTGTGGTATTAACAAGTACTGATTTGTTGTGTGCAGAGATTATTAAACCCATATTCGGCATACAACTTTAACTTATCTTGATCATAGAGAAAATAACTTTAAAGACCAGCCTTTGAATTCGACGCGATAAGGTGATTATCAAACCCTACGCAAAAGCAATTTTGATCAACTGGGTGATCAAACTTATCCTAATGTCAACCACGGATCGACGCCCTTGATGGTCTGTGTTTGTACAGAAGATATCAACAGTCGGTTAATATCAATTTGGTTTGAACAAACAGTAACTTGCCTGACAACGTGATAATAACGTCACGTTTATCAGGTTTGTTTGAAATGACGATTTAAATTGGTCTCTTTGACCAGGTCGCCATGGAGACAAACTGCTAGCTGTCGTCCAATACCAGTCTCAGGATTTGTCTGGGGCCGGCAACATCAATTTCAATATCAATTTTCAATTTCAAAAGGCATTTTATTTACTTCCATATAACACATATACAATACAATGGTTTAAAATAAAAACGCAAACAAGCTATGGAAGAAGGCATGATCCCAAGAAGGTAAAGATCTTGTGATGGACATGCCTTAAAGCCCGGAGAAAACAAAGCACCGAGACAAATTTCGACGTGACGATGGGTAGTTACGACGGAGCAGAGACATGTGAGCTAATCGGCCTTTTCATACTGGCAAAATTAGAACCAAAATATGGAAATAAGATTGGCCTCTACAGAGACGATGGACTGGCAGCATTTGACGATACACCCCAGCAAATCGAAAGAATAAAAAAGGACATATGTAATGTATTTAGAGAGTACGATTTGAAAATAACAATAGACGCGAACAAGAAAGTGATTAACTATCTTGACGTTACACTGAACCTAAGCGACGGAACCCACAGGCCCTACTAGAAGGAAAACAACAAGCCCCTCTACATACACTCAAAAAGTAACCACCATTAAAAATGTCTGGCGGTGACCATTCCTGATACCTGGTACTATGCCCAACATTTTCCAGTAGGTTTCATCGGGTTAACTCACAAGCCGATCTAGCTTAATTTTGGGGTACCGGTTTTTTGCGTCTGGCACGCACCCCCCACCACCGGAAATGTCTGGCATTGACCGATTCATGTTATCTTGAACTATGCCGAATATATTCTGGTAGGTTTCATTGGGTTAATTCACAAGTTGATCTAGCTCAATTTTTGGGGCCCTTTTTATGCCCCTCCTGACCACACCCACCACAATGGGACCGGCAGATGCCCATTCTCCTACATAGACAGGCACATAGAACATTACTATATACACAAAAATTGGTTAACTTTCCAGCTATGCTGACACCCCTGGGCTCCCGGTCTATATGTGAAGAAGGTGAATAAGAAGACGGCTGTACAAGTAAGCCTATATCAAGTTTCATTTGGAATGTTTAAAACAATGACGAATTTTTTAGTGTACAGTCGACATGGGCGACGCCACTTGGCAAAAATAAATAAATAAATAAAAATGCTTGTACGTCACACGCACACGTAAAAAGGCTCAAATGAAGTAAAAAACCAGAGTAGCAACTAATTATTTATTATTATTTAACAATTATTAAAAATGTTAAAGATGAATGTTCTGTTTTAGATGACAAAAGAATAACTTGGGATTATTGTAAAATGAAAGTAAAAGAGTTTTCAATCAATTTTGCAAAACACAAAGCAAGGGTTAAGAGAAAAATTGAAAAAGAGATATCAATCAAATTAAAACAACTTCAAGATCTCAATCCGGTTAATAAGGATCAGCTCTACGAAATCGAGCGTCTTGAAAAAACCCTTAATAAATTCTATGTAGACAAAATTAAAGGGCAACAGATCCGTTCACGCATAAAATGGTGCGAAGAAGGTGAAAAAAATAATAATTTTTTCCTTGGGCTTGAAAATAATAATCAAATTAAGAAAATCATTATTAAATTGGAAACAGATAGTGGTGAGATTATTACGGACCAAAAACAAATTTTAAAACAAGGAGTTGATTACTTTAAAACTATTTATAGTTCGATTAACCCCGACGAAAATGAATTAAATAATTACTTAGTGTCACCTACGAAAATTCATATATAATATGAATGTCATAGACGATCGATTTGGATCGAAGGTCTAATGTCTGTCCAACAATGTACACAACAAAAAGAATTACAAACTTTTAAATTTAACAAATAAGTAAATCTTTATTTATAAAATAATAGGTCTTCTTTTTAAACAATGAACAACACAATACAAACAATACAAACATAGAAAACATTAAATATTAAATATCAAATTTGCAACCAATGCTTTTAATTCAAATCATAACATTACTTAGCAATGATTAATTTGCGTCCAATGCACACTGCGCCCCATGATAAGCTTACAATAAAACTGCTCGTCTCATGAACCTCACAGAATTGGCTGTGGGTTGACTCAATCGTATGATAGTAAATTTTAGAGTAATTCGAAATCTCGCGCTAGTCATTTTATATGACCGGCTGGCAACGGATTTACGCTTTATGCAAATTTAGTAACAATACAATCACCTTTTTGTCAATGACTAACAACTTGTTATTCACTAAGTGGATTAGCATATTATTTAAATATTAGGGCAACACGCATATGGTAGGGAAAAATATAAGTTCTAATGTGACACTTAGACTCAGTTAAATTTGATTATATTTTAAATGAAAATGATCAAAACAGTTGTGAAGGTTTGTTAACATTGCAAGAAATGAAATAGCAGTTAAGAGTATGGCATTGAATAAGTCACCCGGCTGTGACGGTCTACCTGTAGAATTTTATGTTACTTTTTGGGACAACGTAAACCTTATGTTAGTTGACGCATTAAACTATGCTTACGAAAAACGCGAAATGAGCGCCTCTCAACGCAGGACAGTTATATCACTTTTGTATAAAAAAGGAAAACCTGAACTGGTTAGTGACTGGAGACCGATCAGCTTACTCAATGTCGACTACAAAATTGCTGCAAATGTTCTCGCAACTAGGGTAAAACCAATATTAAATACCATTATTAGTGAAGACCAAACTGCATATATTAAAGGACGCTCCAT